TGAATCACATCCAGTCTTGGGAAGACTTAGCTTTTGCTTTTGTAAAGCAGTACAATTACAGTTTGGGAATAGTTCCCGATAAAACAGGTGATAAAGGATATCCCAGAGAATCCACAGCTTCGGTATCCCGTCCTCAACATGAGTATGCAATGCCCGCTCAGCGCGAGCAGCAATTACCTCCTAAACGAAGGATGCCATCTCCAGACCAGCATCGACATGTTCGAAGACAGTTTCCGAATCAGAAAGTACTTCTGAATACTCTGAAAGAAGAAACTCATTGGTTTGATCTTATCCCATTGACCTACCGTCAATTATGGTTTTATTTCATCCGAAACTCGGTAATGACACCTAGAAAGACTAGAACCATGAACTCTCACCCACCGTGGTTCAACCTGAACACCAGCTGTGAATTTCATGATGGAGTGTTGGGGCATTCGATCGAAGATTGCAAAGTTTTTCAAGGGAAAATTCAAGAAATGATCGATAATGAAGTGCTAACCTTCAAAGGAGAAAGACCGATCCTGAATGGAATACCATTACGCTGATATAAGCGAAAACTCCAGAAGAACTTTCTATTTTCTTTCGTTTGTTTGTGTGTTTATTTCTTTGATTGAAAGCATACTTTGCATGTAAGAACTTTCTGTTTCGAATAAGTAATGCAATAACTGTTTGTCTTGAAGAAATCCATTCGTTTTCACTCAAACAGTTTTTTCAAAATTATTTATAACGCCGACTTTTACCCATTCTCTTGCTCTGACAGAGAATTGGAAGGAGGATGATGAAGTAAAACACATGATCTCTTGTTGTATGCTTCGAGTAAAAACCCTACTGATGATGTAAGGCATTATTTTAAACCTCCTGAAAGCCAACATAGTCAACCCTTTCTTTTAAACCTTGATTGAGGATCCGTTCTCTTTCTCCCAAACCGAAACATCATTTTCTTAGCCTGGGGCAGGGTACTATCAAAAATGATGAACATCTTTCAAAAATTGGGTGGGCACAAATATACTAACCCTTTTCTACCTCCATTCTACGAGTCATAAATTAAACCCATATACGACCCTCAAAGTCCTAATTGAGGTAAGGTCTAATTCGAAAGCATACTCAATGAGATATTGTTTCCTGACTCCTTAAGCGATGCTCAAATTTAAATCGGCTTTATAAATAATGATTCAATTTGTATCCTAACTAGTGGTTTCGATCACAAGTTATTGCGATACCCCTTTTTCAAAACTTCAAGACAAACGCGTGTTGCATTAACCATTTCAAAATGGATATTTCAAATGTGCTAAATACGCTTGACATCTTAGAAAGACGACATACAGACATTGATGATGATATCTGAAGACTTTGCTGACTTGGGGCAGGTCATTCTTCCCAAGAAAATTTCATCCGTTCAACTAGAAGAAATTCAAGGACTCACTCACCGCCAATCAGGGGCAGTTACGTCGAGATTCGGCGAATCTCTAGAGAGTTTGAAAACGGTGGGGCATTTGGGCATCATGTTTTCTGTAAAATCCTCTCTAGATGGCGTTTTTTTAAATATGTAACTTGGGGCATTTGAAGATTGGAGCAAAAGATGTATATTTCATCCTCAGGAAGCTCAACCCCAACATGTTCAACAACTACGACGACCCAGGATATTTATTTTATCCCCTATGAAACTTCGGTTTGGGTACCTCCATCTACAATTTCGTACAACACGTCAAACTTATCAAGATGTTACATCCCCAACTGGATTAATCACCTCTCCTCAAGAGAGTTTTGAAGCTCTGAAGCAGTACTGGGACCCTACATTTGGTTCTCCATCTATCCTCAGTGATACTTCTATCTTTGAAGATTGGTTGGACGTTTGTTTCGAGACATTTATCCCGTATTCGGTCTTTGCTTTCGTCTGTCTTGTCAGCATAAGCATACACATATCATATAAGTAGATAGCATAACATTGGCATTTTGCGCATCCTTTGTTTTACTCTATCTTTTAGATTGCGTTCACCCTTGGGTATTTGGGCGTGTCTTACTCCTTCCAAATAGAGTTGTCAGCCCTAAGCAAAAAAACTCAATATTTCTATTTCCCCACGAAGTTCGATCCTCGTGGAAGACAGTTGTTTCAGTACATTCCCATTGGAGTTTATGCCTCTATGGTTGAGTCTTGCTTGACAGTTTCTCTTCGGTTACTTCCCGAATTGAACTTCGGTCTTTGACAATCACGCTATGAACATCTCCAGCTTCGAGCGTGGATCAAAAGTGCATTTATTTTGCGCTTTGACATTACGAGGATCACCATTGAAGACGTGACATTTCTTCGGCAATATTACAAGATCCACTCAACAACTTACAGCTAAACGACGGAAGATCTCTTTATTTGAGCAACTCGTTTTGGGCAGATCTATTCTCAAAACGACGAACAACAATTTCATCAAGACAAGTTGTCCTTCCCCAGCGGGTTATCTCAAGGTTATCAAGTCAAAACAGAGGACATTGCAGATATTTCCCCATTTGAGGATTTCTACTACTACAATTTCACATTTCTTTTACAATTACAGCAGAGGTACTTCAAAAATGATCTTCCTCAGAGAGTTCATTACGAGTACAATCAATGACATATCTCCTTACAAGAGGACACTCCACGTATCAACCGGTTTATAACTCTTTTGAGGATCCCCGGTGCATATTCTACAAATTGCCAATTCAATACAAATTGCATCTACAATTACAAATACAAGATCACATCTACAAATGACATCGACAACATTTACATCAACAACTCTACATCAACATTACAATTTACAACTACAGCAATCTACAATCTACAAATTTACAACCCCTCTATGAGGATGCTCTCGCGAGTTTCCATCATTTTGGGTAGGAACCGAGACCAGCTCATGGTTCCCATAACCATGGAGCAAGGGGAAGTTCGACATCGGAGACCGAGACTGGCGCATGACTCCCATATCATGATGCTCGGGGAAGCTCAACAATTACAGTTACATCTACAATCTACAAATTTACAACCCCTCTTTGAAGACGCTCTCACGAGTTTCCATCATTTTGGGTAGAAACCGAGACCAGCTCATGGTTCCCATACCATGAGGCAAGGGGAAGTTTGACATTAGAAACCGAGACCAGCTCATGGTTCCCATACCATGGAGCAAGGGGAAGTTTGACGTCAGAAACCGAGACCAGCTCATGGTTCCCATACCATGGAGCAAGGGGAAGTTTGACATCAGAGACTGAGACCGGCGCGTGACTCCCATATCATGATGCTCGGGGAAGCTCAACAACTACAACAACATCTACAACTACAATGACATCAAAGACCGAGACTAGCTCATGGTCCCCGTACCATGATGCCAGGAGAGGTTATACATTTTATCATTTCAGCTGAGTAACAAAATATAAAATAAAAAAAAGATTCATTTTGAGTTACTATTGACCACCACCTCGGTAGTCAAAGTATTTTTCGACCTCAAATCGTCAAAACCACCGCATCCCTGATGCATGAGTTACCGTTACACATTCGGAGATTTCCCATGAGTGATCGTTCATGTCCTCGTAGAATCCCGCCTTGTTGGATCTGTTGCTTTTCTGTCTAGCATGTCGCGTCCAGTTCATGACCTCTTTCTCACAGATTTGTCCGTCCTGCATTTTCATATCATTGCATATCATATGCATTCGGTGGTTTCTTATGGCCAAAAATTTGCGCAATGTTTGTATTTAAGTCCCTCCTATCTCGTCGAGACGAAGATTTCAATCTCCCTATCTCCGAATAGGAGTAACTTAAATAGGGGCATCTGTTGCACCCTAATTTTTGACCATAAGATGCCATCTCTCTTTTATATATATATATATATATATATATATATATATATATATATATATATATATATATATTTGTCTCTATACTTTTACGCGTTTTCTACCGCTAATCAATTTGTGCAGGCGCAATATTTTCATGTAAACTCTTATGATCAAGCATCCCATGGATAAGCCACGAATCACAGTGATTAAGGTGCGAAGAGATTAAGGAGCGAGTTTTAACTTAGGGTTCACAAGCAACATTTGAGATTGGTCAAGGTCAGGTTATCGTGTGATGCAAGTGGTGATTCAGATTTGAAAGTTTGCAACTCGAGTTATAGTCTCACGAAGTTCAAATTGGACCTCAGACTCAAGATTCACTTTGAGCTTTCCGCCCATTAATCCACTCTTAAGGACATATCCAAGTTGTACAAAACATCACGCCTTGGCCCACCAGCTGATTGTCCTTGCGGTTTTGTTAAAGAACTAGAAACATTATTTACGGTACAACGCCCAGTTTGAAGGCCCCTATACTACGAGGCCCATGATGCACCTTTTATGGAATATTAATCGCCAACTTAAGATATCATGCTTGAATAAATTTACGTGTTCAAGGTTTAACAATGCAAAAACTCGAAGCGGTGATGTAAAATCATTTAGGAGAAGATGTTTTAAGATCAAGAAGTGTTAATTGAGTTTGGTACATAACTTGTTCGTTGTCATGGAACCGTGAGCCAATGTTTATTACAATTCTCTACTTAACTAAATGATCCCAAATCCATTTACGTATACAAAAGAAAGTGCTTCCAATCATTATCACGCCAAGCTGTTTTCTTAAATTATGACATCATGGGTTTACACCAAGTTACGTTGTGCAAGAGAATGTTTAGAGAACCATCATTCAAGAAGCTCCTAATACAGGATATGCAGCCTCGTGAACCAGAAAGCGGCTCCGGGATATTGGTCTTCCACCACCTATGGGAGTTAGATCGGGAGATGCAATTTTCTGATAACACCAAAGAGTCCTTGCTGCTTGGAGTTTGAACCTTTCGCTTTTGCCTGATTAAAGAGAAGACCTCAACTGCATCACGATTAACACCCTGCAAGCAACCAACAACACCATTAATGTTTCTTCTTCTCTCTCTAATAACAACAAGAACACAGTGATACGCTGCATTTGGAGAATTTCAATCAACAGAAAAATGAGGTCTTCTTCTTCTACTGTTGCTGATTCGGGTATGATCAATATCGCTGCGAGTGCTCAGAAGCTTGATGTTGATAATCGAATTGCTCTTCGGTTTTATTATCGGGTTGCTGATAACATACTTTGGCAGGCCGACATTTTTCGCGCAGAGAAGAACATCATTGACCTATATGTCCTGCTTTTGAGATTTTCTAGTTTGGCATCTGAGACAATACCGCGTCACCGAGAGTATAGATCATCTCCACAAACCAAGAAATAGTCATTGAAAAAGAGATGGAATGAACTAGAGAAGCTGAAACCATTAGCCCAGCAGAAGATCAACGAGATTAACAGCAGAAATGCTCACCGACAAAATGGACGGGGGAATTTTCATTCAAATAATAACGTGGATTTTTCTTCTGTGTAAAAGCAAACTTTGGCTAGTAATGGCCAAATAAAGCCTGTCAGAGCAACTGCTGGGGAATTTGCTTACCAAGGATCAAGTGGTCAACATTTCTCGCATGTCAAGCCTGTAGAAGAGCACGTGCGAAGACTATCTCTAACTCTGCCACCTCCAAAGGAGGAAACTCTCTCTAGACGTTCTATTCTTGATCCCAATGGGCTTAATGGACAATAAGGCGTCACCCTACATAGAAGAGAGAGAAGCCTGCTCAGTTCACAAACCAGTAAATCAATCTGAAATTATAAAGGTGAATTATGAATAAAGGGGCATGAGTAAACCTGTGAATTTAGAGGAGACTACTAGGAGGAGTTTTTCAGCCGTTGATTTCTTCCACATGCCGCTCTCAATCAGCAGTCTCAGTCGTGGCCTTCCCGATAATACCATCACTTGTTGCTTGTTTGGAGTAACCATAACGCTCTCAGCCTCTAAATCATGGGAGAGGCTTGAAATACATAAGATTAAGAGACCAGATGCGATCCGTATATGATTTCAAGCAGTCCATACACGACCAGTTTTGGAGTAGTTCAAATCTTCCACTTCTCAAAATCCAGGGTCTCATGAAACATGGTTGCTCTCAGTGGTAGTAGCAATATTGTTCTTTGTATATTCCATATCACACTAGAGATGTTGTAATGCAAACGGCTATATCACCGGCACAACATAAGTTTCAGATCAAATCACGGTAGGAGTATCCGATGGGAGCCCAACCTCACAGCTCCGGCTTTCTCGTCGTTCACCGATCACGTTCTTCCTTCAAGTTGCATACCTGGAATTATAAAAGAGAGTTATTGAATATAGCAGGATTAGCTGAAGTTTCAAGAACAAAGCAACAGTTATCACTCTCACAGCGAGCTTCGCTTAACAGTTAACAGGTCCCAAGCTTACCAAGGATCAGTGGCCTCCTGGCTATACTCTTAGCGGATTCCTCGCTAGCAAGCTAAAGTACCGAAATTGGCAGAGAATCATCAGGGCCATAGTTACTGCATCAATAACTTTATTCCAGAATCATGATTTTACTCAAGATATTGTGAGGCCAAGTTGTGTTCCCTGCAAGACCAATTGCACAATGAAAGCCTTCAAAGAAATTAGAGAAAGTGGTCGCAGACATCATTGTTTGAATCGAATGAACAACAAAGTGATATCAGGACCGAAGCTTACCATCCAAAGGTCATCAAAACACCAACGACCTTGCTCTTCCTCGCTCGCGTGATTGTAGCCGCTAGTACCCTTGTTTCATAAGACCACATATCTTGCATTCAGTTTACTCACAAGGGAGATATTCAGAATTGCTATTCTTCACTACCAACTTTGCTCTTCATGAGATCCCCACACGCATCAAGCAAGAACTCATTCTGGGCTTCTGATTCGTCACTCAGCCCAACATCACATCTGTTATCCGCACCTGTTAAAAGACAAAATCGGGTTAGCATTGTACTTGGAGAGAATATTCCGTAAAAATCCAACCGAATCCAATCTCAGTGTGAACCCCAATCGAAGATTTGAAACCCCAGTTAGGAAAGGTTTCAAATTTCGCACAGACAAAAAAGGAAGGTTCAATCAGTTTTAAAAGCATTTTAAATCAGGTTTCAAAGCATTGATCTTCAAAAGGGGCTATATAAAACGAGGGGAGAGATTAACAGTGGGATCCAGAATAAAAAAAAACCCTAACATTACCGAAAAGAAACGCCGAAGTCGTGACCTAAAAAAAAAGATTGAAAGACGACTTATCTTCTTTAACCGTTGAAACCGCCGCCGCAAACACCTAATCGCCACAAGGGACATCACCCTCCGGCCGTCTCAAGCTTCGCCGCCGCTCACCTTTGGTAAAACCCCCATCCTTGTTAGAACTATCGAATCTATTGATTGTTTGGTGTTGTGCTTCAGGTACAAAAAACAGAACGAGACGATGAAGGTTTGAACGGAGATCGAACGGAGATGTGAAGCGGGGATTGAACGAGAGAGAAGACGAGAAAGCCACGGATCGGGAGAATTGGAGGGACCTTAGGGTTCCGTTTGTGTTTTCTTATGTTTTTTTTGTTTATTATTTTAATTGCCACCACACTAATCACACACACACCCTAACTAACCGCCAATTTATCCCCCTAATCGCCTTCTTAATCATCCTTAATTAGTAATCAAAACCCTAATATAACCTTTTCATCAAAATAATTATAAATTTCAAATCCAATGAACCATTTAAACCTTTATAAACCTAGTATAATCCTTTTATTATTAAAATAAATCTTTTATATAAACTTAAATAAATGTTTTTTAATCAATCCCTTTATTTAAATAAGCTACTAAATTATTTTCTAAATGAATGATGAATCATCCCTTTTTAAAAAAATTCATTTCATAGGTCAAAACCCTTTTTAAAAATAAATAATAATAAATCTTTTTTTGAATAACTTTTTATTTATTGAACAATCTATTTGATAAGGAACTTTTATAATATACTTTTTATTAATAGCCATAATATAAAATAATCACTAAGTTTTCATAATAAATTAATCATTTAAGATTTAGGATTTTTCTTATAAAATTAACTCGTCTTAAGGCCAATCTCGTCTAAGATTAATTCACTCAAATCAATATCTTTTTAAATTAATAAAATAAAATCAACTCAACATTCCACTAAAATCAATCTGCTTGAAATCAACTTCGCCTAAATCAATCAACAGCGTAAAACATAATCAAATTGTGCACATTCACACTTCACGACACATGCACCTACACCATAGCGCTTTCATGCGTGTTTACATTTATCTTTATCTGCTTTATCTTAGTCACAAAGCACACACACTCACTCAGCGCTTTCATGCGTTCGTGTATGGTTTATTTCCGTATTTACATTATCGCAATTCATTTACATTATCATACATATCTATATTCATCGCATTCCGTCCAAAGGAAAAGCCTACACATAATTCAACGTTGTGTGTAGTTGCACGTCATATGCATCATATCCCCTTCGATCCTTGATTCCATTCAAGTTGATCAGTTAGGTTTAGGACCTACCCTATAGGAAGGACCTTGTCTTTATTTTGCTACAACTTAGACAAACACAAACAACAATACAACTTTTACAAACACATCAGAGAATAGATGTTAATCATCTTAAGCGAGATATAATCTCCACCCCCACAACAATACAATCAAACACGCAGGGACTTTGCCTTAAGAACGACAAAGGCATACTTGGCGACCATCCGAGTATGTAAGACCTTTTCTTAAGATGATGCAAATACCATTTCCTACAACCCTTCTCTTTTACACTTGTGGTGGTTATCTCTCCCTTAAAATGAAGACTCGTCTCTTCTCCTAAACCCAATCAATCAACTACCCTAAACCCGTAGGAACTTTGACCGCAGTCAAAGAACTCCTCTAACCCTTTAGGGTGAACTACAACATACTCTGATTCCACTCCCGTAAGGATATGTAGGCACAAGGTGCGATGCCTTATCGAGTATACTTAGAAATAAACCCCTAGGGTCTTTTCAACCATTAAGCAGACAACACATAGCAGTAAACAAACATAAAACAAGAGGTTCCTGTAGAGTACTACAGAAACTTAGGATGCTAGCACCTTCCCTAAGTTTAACCAACCCCCGAACCTATAACTCTCTAAACCTTGCATTTGCATTGCATCGTGGGAATTTCGATCTTTATCCCTTCCTTTGGGCAAATCAAAGTTCGGTTGCAAATTGAATTAACGATTCAAACTAATCAATAGTTTGGTATCCGATTTTCACCGCGACAGTTACCCCTACTTTGTTTATTGTATGTTATTTACTTTATTATTTATTTTCTTGTATATATAATATTCATTGTACCTTGCTTGGGGTATCTACTGTGTTGTGAGATAAGTCCTACACTCGGACTTGAGTGACATTATTATAGGAAGGTGATATATTCAATGAGGCTTATAGGAAGTGAGTCCCGACCAAGCTGACTTGAGAATCACCGCTCAGTTGAGACCCTTTCGAAAATGGTTTGGTTGAACGAGTATTTGTGAAAACTTTTACTATTGTCGATTGGAGTCCGTGATACTGGGGACCGTAGTACCTTAACACCACCTTGGCCTTATCTTGGATGTAGTGCAGGGACTATTAAGGAGTACTCCCAAAATAGTTGCTACGTGATACTACCTTCAAAAGAGGATCTCTTGAGAATATTTTTAACCACCGAGTCAATCGGGAAATTGATAATATCCGAAAGATGGTTTGATGACTTTGGGAACCGCTTTAAAACCTTGTTCTGCAGGTACAACTAACCTTAGTACATACCTTATGGGGATGGATAGACCTTAACCCCGTGCATATACCTTTAACCTAGGACCTTGTGCATATATGTGCATTGCATCCATAAAGCATCACATCACATTACATTTCATGGAATTCAAATTTTACTTATGAACATCGCAGGATACCATGGATTGCAATAGAAAACATACTTTGAAATATACTTTTAAGAGTCTTAAGTTGGTTGACCTAAGAAAGTTAGGAGCTTTAGTCCAAGATCAAGAAGGATTCCAAAACAAGTATGGAAGGTTGTTACCTCTGTTAGGACTTCAAGTAGACGAAGGACTTCTTTCTACCTTGTTACAGTTCTATGATCCGGATTATCATTGCTTCACTTTCCCAGATTTTCAGTTGTTGCCTACTTCAGAGGAGTACTTTTAGTTGGTAGAGTTACCTGTTTTGGATAGATTTCTTTTCCCTTTCCTGGAAAAGGACCCTAAAGAGGAAGACATTGCTAAAGCCACATGCTTAAAGGTGTCCGACATCAAGGGCAATATGATTTCTAAAGGTGGAACT